GGTTTAGCAGTTCGAAGGTGGTTAGGAAGGCTGTAGAAAGTCAGTGCAACCATAAACTACATGAACATGTGCCGGTTGAAGGAGAACTCACTGCACGGACTGCCACATATCCCAGATTGCTATGTGTCTGTTTTGCAAAGGCCATTTTGAATCCAGTGAAGGAGAACATTTTGTGTCAGACTTTTGAAAGCACTGCCTCGATTTTTGCAAATGAGAATTTAGATTACTGGAGCCAAGAGAATGGAATGCTCGTGCGACATCACAATATTGCACGAACTCAGGCGTTCAAACCTAGTGAGGTGGAATGCACCATTCCTGATGCGTAGATTTCTTCTTGGCGCAAGACCGTGGCGGTGTTCTCAGATGGCACTAGAGACGAGAAAGAGGACAATTGGAGAGAGTCACCTGTGAAACCTCTTGAACAAAACAGAGGACCCTGGACTGGAACCACTTGTTTCAAGATTCTGCGTGAATTGCATGAAGATGACATTCTTGTTGAAGAGGACACCCACACGTTAAATCAGATCAGACTCATTCATCGTAATCTGGGTCACCCTAATCATCAGGTCATGCGTAGAATGTTCAAGGACGCCGGTGCTTCTCCAGCTGTCCTGAAGCAGGTAGAACGTTTCAGGTGTGATCACTGTCTGCAACGTGGAAGACGAGCTCACTGTCATCCAGCAACTCCTCCCCCAGTTCGTGAGAAGTGGGAATGCGTGAGCGTGGATACCTTTTGGTGGCATGTTCCCAAAGAACTTCTTTCCCCGGGACAAGACGGTCAACATGTGGTTGGGATCTCCCTTTTCGATGAAGCGACTGACTATCATACTATCGTGATCGTGCGTCAAGGAAAACAACCACAACACGTGATTTCAGGGAAGGAGTTCAAAGAAGGTTTCCTGGAGGGTTGGACAAAACGCAAAACGGTTTCCTGTTCCCCAGAAATTGCGGTATGACGAAGAAGGGTATATGAGGGCTATTGGTTTGATCAGCTGGTTGGAGAGTTTGGGTATTAAAATGGAACCCATAGGCGGTGAGAGTGCTTGGCAGATGGGCAAACACTCCCGACATTTACAGATTCTGAAGAAGAATGCCAATTTGTTGGCTCATGAGTTGGGACCAGACACTGATGCAAAGGAGTTGTTGCACTTGGCTGTGATGGCTAAGAAAGAAGTTCACAACGTCAAGGGATACACTCCTAATCAATGGCAGTTGGTGCCAACCACGGAAGAAGATCAGTTCCTTTCTCCGCTTTGATGGACATCTCCCCTGGGATAGCCAGCGTGAAGAACCAGACTTTGAGGTCAGCCTAAAAAGAGAAGCCGCGGCCGGGAAACTTTTCATTGAGGCAGATTCGCAACGACGTTTGCAGCGTGCCCTGCGAGCGCAAAGTAGGCCCCTCAGAGAATTCACTGTTGGACAACTAGTGTACTACTATCGTAGGGACCGAAAAGAAGGAACTCGTGTTGCGGGTAGGTGGCATGGACCAGGTAGGGTTTTGGGTCATGAGAAAACTTCGGAACAGCTTTTGACGAACCATCCTGGTTCTATTGTTTGGGTCGGTCATGCTGGATTTTTGTTGAGATGTGCACCCGAACAGTTGCGACCTGTCACACAAAATGTACAACAGATTGATCTTCAGATCAACGGACCTGCGGATTTTGAGACTATGATTTTATCACCAAACGTTGAGAAGACAACAAAAATGTCATGATCTGTTGCGTGACATTGAAGATGTGCCAGAAGTCTCTCCTGATCTGAACATTCCGAGATTTCGGTGTCAAGGAAAACGGACCTTGGACGTAGTTGATCCTCCAGATCCCAGTCCCCCAATCGCGAACGATGGCCATGAGTGCTTCAAGCAAGCCAGAGCTGAGCCTCAAGAAGAACTTGGACAAGCTGAAGCGACTGACCAGTCACGCGACTGGCAAGGACATGGTCGAGAAGGCAAAGACCATGCCAATGATCGAGCTCAAGGCCATGAAGATCGACTTCGGGAAACACAAGGGACTGAGTTTCGAGGAAGCAGCAGCTCAACCGGGCTACGCAGAATGGGTGGCGAGCCATGTGAATCCAGAGAAGAGCAATCCCACGATGCAGATGTTCGTGGAATTCCTGAATCGTGGGACCAAGGCTCTGGTTCAGCAGATGGAGGCCGCAGCCGGGTACGGGGGCACAAAAGAGGACCCTCAGATGAAGACCGGGAATACCAAGAAACGTGGCGGACAGGACGAGCTGTTCGAAGAGAAGATCGAGAAGGGAGACTTCGATCACTGGACCGTGACCATGGAGGAACCCTCAAAAGAGATGATTCAGCTGCAAGAGGAAACCTCAGACCTCAAGATGCGCATGAGTCAGATGGAAACCATCCTGATGCAGATCGCAAAGAAGCTGAACATCGGATAGATAGGATCAACAATCCGAGACATCGGAGCCGGACCCCACACAGGGATCCAGCGAATATAAGACGGGAAGAGAGTACAGAACTCTCACGGCCTGTCCAGCTCAACACCATACCTGAAGAGTGTGATGAAAAGACCGACATGCTGTTTGCCCAAGCTGTTGAGAGTGCACACACTGTGGAAATTCATTTGAGTGTCTCTGCACGTGATGTTCATTGCAAGAGAGGTACTTGGGTCCTCAACCAAAAGGCAAAACGAAACGTTGAAGTGAACTTTAGAAAATTGAATGAAGAAGATCGAAAAGAGTTTCTGAAAGCCATGGGACATGAAGTTGACTCATTTACTTCTAATAGTGCAGTCGAGATCTGTGCTCGGGCGGGAGTTCCACGGCAAAGAATCCTGGGTATGCGGTGGGTTCTTGTTTGGAAACCAGTGCAAGATAAAAATGGTATGCAGGTCGCTAGGAAGGCAAAAAGCACGCCTTATTCTGAAGGGATACCAGGATCCTGAGCTTTTGTCGGTGCCTCGGAGAGCAGCCACACTTAACCGCACGTTGGGGTAGAAATACAATTTTGTCACTTGCAGCTCAACGAAGGTTCAAGGTGTTTCTAGGAGACATCAAGACGGCGTATCTTAACGGAGATGAGACTGAGTTAGAACGAAAGACTTGGGCTGAACCTCCTGAAGAAGTGAAACAACACTTGAACATGAAACCTCATGAGCTTTGGAGAGTCGCAAAAGCCGTGTACGGCTTGTGCCATGCGCCACGGAGATGGTTTGAGAAACTTCAATCTGTTCTGTGGAGCCAGAAGTGGCAATCACACCAATTGGATCAGTGTGTCTTCTTGCTCACAGATCCATCTACTCAGGAGATTTGTGGCTACCTAGGTGCACATGTGGATGACCTGGTGGTGGCAGGTGCCGGGGCATATTTTGAGAAACAAGTCAAAATGCTTCGGGAGTCATTTGCTTTTGGAAGCTGGGAGTGTGCACAAGAGAAGAGTGTGAAGTTTTGTGGATGCGACATTTTTCAGACGGAAGATTTTGATATTTGGCTGAATCAAGAACGTTTTGCTCTTTCTATTGATGAAATCAATTTAGAACGTTCTCGAAGAGACATGAAACATGATACTGCGACACCGGCCGAGAAATCCGAGATGAGGAGAGCTTTGGGAGCATTGAATTGGAGAGCAGTTCAAACAAGTCCTTGGTTGCTTTCGACTGTTTCTCATCTACAAGGATGTGTGGAGACAGCAACAGTGAGTGATTTGATGGAAATCAATAAGGCCATTAGATGGCAACGACGACACAGTCATTTGAAACTGATTTTTCCACATAAGGTGAAAGATAACTTAATTGTTACTTTCTGTGATGCTTCTTGTGCAACTAGGCGTGACGGTAGTTCTCAAGGGGGTGCAATTACTGTGTTGATGAATCGAGACACCCTGAATGGAAAACTCAGTCATTTTTCTGTGTTGTGCTGGACAAGTCGACGACTTCGACGAATTGCCAGATCCTCAACGAGTGCAGAAGTACACATGACAGGAAACGGTCTAGACGAACATGATTTTGTGAAGCTGTTTGTGTATTTGATGAAACACCCTGGTCATGTGGACCTTAGAAATCCTGATAACATACTTGCTTCTGAAGAGTCATGCATTCTGAGTGATGAAAGAGTGCAAACTTGTGGCCTAAATGGAGGAACGGAGGATTTCTATCGAGGTCTTAGGCATCCGTGAACGTCTGAACCAGGCGAACGTTCGATGTCGCTGGGTGTCAGGAGATCAGGAACTTGCTGATGGTTTGATGAAACCTTGGAAGGGAGAACAACTCATACAAGCTCTTAGCCAAACGACCTGGAGAATTGTGTTCGACCCTAATTTTGTGTCGGGACGAAAACGAAAACAGGTGAAACAGCTGGAGACGAAGTATGGTGATTCCGATTGGCTGAACCTGATTTGTTTGTCGGACGATTCGATCTTTGGTCAAGAAAATGTTTGGGGCTGTGTGAAATTGGTGACATCCATTGACCAAAGAATCCATTCCTCAACCTCCGGGGCTCAAGACGTGCCCTGATGTTCTAGCTAGCGGACGCTCTTTCGACGTGCTCAGCAATAGCGTGTCTTAAACCTGCGTGTGCTCGTTGTCGGTTTGTGAGAGAAAGGTGAACAGTGCATTGTGGTTGAGTTGAGGCCTCCGCTGCCATATTTACAGAGGCCATCGCTGGTAGGTTGGACGGCTAGTAGGGTTGGTTGGAGGCCATCGCTGGTAGGTTGGAGGCCATCGCTAAGGCTAGTAGGTTGGGGGCCATCGCGGGTTGGGGGCCATCGCTGGTAGGGCCATTGCTGGTAGGTTGGAGGCCATCGCTAGTAGGTTGGAGGCCATCGCTAGTAGGTT